TTCATGAGTGCCAATGGGATGGGGCCAGATTTGTTGCCTAAAGCTGAGGGGGCAGGGCTGCCATGCCCAAGGGGCAGAAGAATAAGGCCTGCAGGGGCAGAGGGGTACGGTTGCCACTCAGACAAACTAGGATAATGGGGCTGCCCAAATGCGAGGAAGCAGAGCTGCCATTCCAGCGGGCCTGGAAGGCGGGGCTGAAGCCCAGGGCTGAGGGGCCTCCAACCAGAATCTGGAGAGTGTGGCCAATACCCAGAGTCTGGAAGGCAGGTCCACTGCCTAAATGGTCTCAGAGAACAGAGGATTATTTTCAAGACTTGAGAACTAATATAATGTGTTCTGCTGACTTGCTTGGTGCCTGTTATCCCTTCTTTCCCTCCAATTTCTCCCATTTGTAATGGAAATGTCTACCTTGAGCTGTTCCACAACCGTACTTTGGAAGCAGATAACTTGTATTCTAGATTTCACAGATAAAGACGAATTTTGCTCCAGGATGAAATTTGTGCTTAGAGTTGATTTAAGACTTTTGGGATGATATGATTGGATGAATGTGTTTTACATGTGGCAAGGACATGAATTTTGGGGGGCCAAAAGGTGGAATGTTATGGATTGAATTGTGTCCCCCAAAAATGTGTTTCAACTTGGCCAGACCATGATTCCCAGTATTGTGTGGTTGTCCACTATTTTGTGATCTGAGGTGATTATCATATGTGTTGTAAATCCTAACCTCTATGATGTTAATGAGGCAGGATTAGAGGTAGTTATGTTAATAAGACAGGACTCTATAGGATTAGGTTGTATCTTGAGTCAATCTCTGTTGAGATACAAAAGAGAGAATTGAGCAGAAAGGAGAAGGACCACATTACCTCCAAAAAAGAAGAGCCAGGAGCAAAGTGCATCATTTGGACCCAGAATCCCTATGCTAAGAAGCTCCTAGACCAGGGGAAGACTGATGACAAGGACTTTCCCCTAGAGCCAACAGGGAAAGAAAGCCTTCCCCTGGAGCTGGCACCCTGAGTTTGGACTTCTACCCTACTAGACTGTGAGAGAATAAACTTCTGTTTTTAAAGCCATCCACTTGTGGTACTTCTGTTATAGTAGCTCTAGATAACTAGGACAGTGGCATGACTATTTGATTATACTGTAAGGTCTATGAGGTAAGGTAGCATATCAGTTTTATACAACATAGTGCCTGATAATATTTTTTTTTAATAAAAGAATAAATGGAGACATCCCTGTGGACTATAAGCTTAAAATTTTCCTGGAAAATGTGTTCTTTATTTGAGCCTTGGAGAGGAATATTGGAGAGAGATGGGGACTAATATTTATTATTTACAATTTTCCAGGTGCTGTATTAAGTACTTGTGCTATTACATTCAAGACTCACAGTAACATGATGAGGTACACGTTGACCCCTTATGAAAGATGAGAAGTCAGGCTCAAGTAAACATAGCTGGTAAGTATCAGAACTAGCATTTGAGCCTAAGTTCACTATCTTTGGGCAGGCAGGCTGGAAGGACAGTAATTATTCTGATATAATAGGGGATATTTGGATTCTTTTGGTGGGAAGGTAATCTGATGTAATGAAATGTTACTGCAAATGAAACACCTACATAAATGATGCTCAGCAACTGGACAGCTGGTTAATACTAAAACATTTTTATGACAGCCTTTTTAATGAAAAGTTGACCTGGTTCACATAAACAAGGTGTAATAACTAACTTTGAGATTTTGGTCTACAAATAAGAACATGCTAAGCATTTATCCATGGGGAGAAAATCTAGTTTCCTTAAAATTAGGGGAGAATCCCATATTGCAATACCCATTTTGGAAATCCTGTGCAACCCTCATGAGAATATTAAAACCTTCACAAAAATCTTGCGGTAAAGAAACTTATTTAACTTTTTTTAAACAGAGTTCCAAAATTTATTTGAACATGGAATCTCTTTTTTTATTTTCAAAGAATACACACTAACATTTTGAGGGATATTTATACTGATACTAAGTACAGTTTAGGAAATCCTGTCATAGTCCACCTTTTTTTCCAGAATTACAGACCTAGGCACTTCCCTTGAAACCCATCCCAAATATCTAACTCCAAATTTTCCTCCTGAATCCAGGGTTTCAAACAGGTTCATTCTGGTTTGATTCAGTATATCTGGGGTGAGAATGAAAATTCTCAGCAGGGTTTTGAACTAGAATGAACCAGTTTGAAGCCCTGCTTGAATCTCAAGCTCTTTCCCGTCTAATCTTTCCTTCAAAAGAACAGAGTATACTTCCTCGGAGAGTCAAACATGCAGTAGCTGCTTCACACTTGGAGACTATTAAGGGTTACTTACTTCTTTTATTCAAGTTACATGTATCAATTTCTACAGACTTCTTACACAGCACTCATTCTCAATAGTTTAATCATTCTCTGAATCCACTCCAACTTTCTCATATTTTCCTTCAGCTGAGAAAACAAACTGAACAGTCCTACTCCAAAGGCCAACAAATGCTGCATAGTGAGAAAGGGTTATCTCAAGACTCCTATTTATAGCCAGTGTTGTACACAGTGAAGACTCATATTTAGCAAAATATTCTTTATCAAAAAAGGTGATTGGTTGCAATGGATCCCTGGGTACTCTTTCAAAAGGAGCACTGGTGGGAATATAAAAAGGTGCAGCTGCTGTGGAAAACAGTTCGGCTGTTCCTCAAAAAGTTAAACATAGAATTAATTACCATATGACCTAGCAATACCACTTCTATGTATATACCCAAAAGACATGAAAGCAGGCATGCAAACAGAAACCTGTACAACAATGTTCATTGCAGCACTATTCACAACAGTCAAAATGTAGAAACAATCCAAGTGTCTGTCAGCAGATGAATGGATAAACAAAATGTGGTACATACATACAATGGCATATTATTCAGCCATAAAGAGAAATGGAGTTCTGATACATAATACAACATAGATGAACCTTGAAAACATGCTGAGTGAAATAATTCTGGCATGAAAGGATAGATATTATATAATCCCACTTATATGAACTATCTAGAATAGGCAAATGCATAGAGACAAAGTGTACTAGCGGTTACCAAAAGTGTATTAGTGGGGAGAGGGGAGATGGGATTTATTGCTTAAGGGGAACTGAGTTTCTGCTTGGGGTGATGAAAGAGTTTGGAAATGGATAATGATGATGGTAGCCCAACATGGTGAAGATAATTAACATCCCCGACTTGTCCACTTAAAATATGGTTAAAACAGCAATTTTTTGTTACATATAATTTACTACAATAAAACAAAAATTTAAAAAAGAAACATTGGGAATGAGGAAAATTGGTGGAGAATTCAATCATGCACAGAACCATAGAATCTTTGAGGAAGCACTCTCGTGCTCTAAATGATCCAATGTAAGAATTTCATCTATAACATTCTGGAGAACAAACATAAAACTTTGTTTTGAGGCTACTAGGAGGATGTTTGTTACCTCACAAGGCACTCCATTCCACTGCTGAAGTGATCTGATTATTAAAACATTCTCTAGTAAGCTGACCTGAAATCTTTTTTTATGCTTGTCTCAGTCAAGTGTTAGCTGTGCCTTCTGGACTAACACAGAACAAACCCACCTTATCCACTTGAAAGTCCTTCAAATAACTGCCAAGTTCTGCCCATTATTCAGGTGTAAGGAACATACTTCCCAGGGTGGTGATGAAGGTGAAATAGCCTATGCTCCCTGTACACGAGGCCCAGGGGCTTGAAGCTTACACAGGCTAGATTAGGGCTGCGTGTAGGAACTGCAGAGTCATGAAGCTAAAGTTTCCTTTAGAATGTCAAATCCAACTGCTCCCAACTCCTCAAGTAGATAAACATGCCCAGTGGTTCCAAAGAACTTGGCTGGAGAAAATGCAAACCATTATATAATTGACAAACAACAACACTTTCTACCAGAAAAATGGAAAACTGAAGGTAAAGTTAAAAAAAAAAAAAAAAAAAGACATTTTGAGGAATAACGTTGAACTCTCCAATAAGTAATCTAGTTGTCAAATCAACTTGTCAAAGAATGCATTCCAGGAATGAACTTGCATCTCAGTGCAAACCAACCCTTTGACCTGACACCCCCCTTCCACCCACACACCATGGTATGTAAGTCAACAAACTGCCCCATGTCCTGCCAGGGGAAGAGTCTCTCAAATTCACCCAGGAGCTATTCCGACCCAAATTACAAGGCAGATACCAGTAGACCCCACAGCAGCTTCAGGAAACGCTAATTAGAATGGTCTCAGAAGACCTAGAGAGGTTGTGGAATTCTATATTTTACTTGCCAGAGAACAAAGTTTCAGAAATACACATTTCTAAAGCTGTTAATCCATTACGAACTGAACATCTGCTTCACTTATACAAATAAATTCACCTTTTCATTCATTTAAAATTATAGAGCAAAAGGAATTTTAAAATATCAGCATGTAAAAAAAAGATACAGGCTTAGAAAATTTTAGACTGCCACTGAAGGCCAGAGTGAGATTTTACAGAAAATTCTGGTGAAGTGCTAAAAATAGGAATGTACACAATAATCAATGTAAGAGCTCAACTCTTAACCAGAACACTATGAATGAAGAGAATTAATGTATTAGTTTAGGGAGAACCTGGCAGTCATTTTTTGTTCTTAAGATAAAATTTAAGAAAATGACAAGAAAAAAAAATTGCACTAAAGGGTAATATAAATCAAAATAAAAACACAAGTTCTTACTATCTCCCCAAGAAATGCCTATGAAATAGCCCCTAAAATGAAAATGCTGTGGTTCTGGGATGGGGCAGGGGTTGTTTTGTCTACCAGGAAGATTTTTATACCTTTCCTCTCCCCTAGGTGGCAGTGTGGCACACCACGTAGATTTTCTCAGGCCCCACCAAATATTTCAGGATTCAAAGATCACAAGAATAAAGATTCAAGGAAATATACATAACAAGGCATCAGAATAAATAAACAATTATTTTATAGACAGGAAAGTGTAGTACTCACTGATTCCACGTTATATGAAAAAAGCGCATACTCTTTATCTGGAGATATTTCATATCTGACGGCTCTTAATGATTCCTGAAAAAAAAAGAAAATTTAAAGTATAACCTATAACAAAACTCAGAAGTGTGTAATAAAAATAAAACTATGCCTGCTGGAGACATTTTCAAGATTTGCTAACAAAATTAGTATGCGGCAAACTTGCTAAAGTACTTTAAAAATGGCTATATCCTCTCTGCTCATCTGAAAAATATTCAGATAACTAATGCTTTCCCACATTTTTGTCTTTTTTTCAAGTTTCTACAAAATAATACTTATTGCATCTACTGAAACAAATCAATAGATAAATATAAAAACCCACAAGTCTTTCCCACAATACTCCCAATCCTTCTGTATCTTTTCACATCCTATTCTTGTAAGCATGTATTATGCAGAAGAAACTTAAATGATTCCTAGGAATGTATGAGCTCTGGGAATTTATTCATCTTACCCCAAAACTCATTGCTGTTAAGTCGATTCCAACTCATGGTGACTCCATGTGTTACAGAGAAGAGCTGCTCCATAGGGTTTTCTTGGCTGTAATCTTTAGGGAAGCAGATTGCCAGGCCTTTCTTCCACAGTGCAGGTTGGGTGGGTTTGAACTGCCAATCTTTAGGTTAGTAGTCTAACACAAACCGTTTGCTCCACCTATGGACTATTTTCACGTCATAGGACCCTTGTAATTGTTCTTTCGTTGGGTCTTTATTTTGTTCTGCCTTTTGGGGTTTCAACCTTCACATACACAGAGTGGTACTTAACTAAAGTCTCAGAGGGAACACTGTGCAGATTTCTGGAGGCTTCTCCAACTAGCTTCCTCCTCTTGGGTACTCTGCCTCATGAGTTGTAACCATCTTCTATCCCTGAACTCTGATCTCTGCCTCATGAAGTCAGCCTACACGGCTTGGGTTCTTCCTGCTTGTGCTGGAGTCCAGCGTTACATTCATGCAAACAGCCCCAGGGAAGGTAGGACTCACTTCACTTGTTTTCATTTTCTCAGGGATCACAGTCCTGCACTGCCTGATAGCCAATGAATGAAAATTATTTTTTTCCCAAATTTTGTCCCGTTTTTTTAGTTGTTTATGTTAGGAAGATAATTATGATCATCTTGCACTCTCGTGGCCAGGACTAGGTATCAAGAGAGTTTTACACCTGTGTTCCTCGTGCCTCGATCAATGGCTGGCTCATAAGAGATGCTCCATGAATGTTTGCTGAATAAATAAATATATCCATAGTTGGTACAGGGTTGAAACAATGTGACTGATATAAAGATGCTCAGAGAAACCAGCAAAGAATCCAACTTTCTACACTTAGAAATCAGCGTGGATCACATTCCCTGAAGAGGGTCAACTGCTAATGATGTCACCTGACTCAGTGAGGATTCCAATAGGTTCACTGGGAAGCCTGCCGTTGCCATGCTTAGGTGTGGTTTCATGCATTTCTGGCCATCACAGTTTGCAGGATCCCCATGGGTGTGGAAAGTACAGGCTATAGGGCCACCTTTTCACCAAGTGCAAATTACGGATGCAAAGTGCCTGAACATGTGTTCCAAGACTACATATATGAATGAAAGGCCAGTTTCCCAAGCAAAGCAGGCCTTAGAAGGCCTAGGCTTCAGTCTTGCCTGAGGGCTATTCCTGCAATAGTCTTGGTCCACTTCTCTATTATTTGTCTTTTTTGATCTATTTGAAACCACTCTTTGTAAATTTCAGATATTAGCCATTTACTTGTCACCTGGATTGTAACTATTTCCCATTATTTGTCTATTGATTTTGTCCTTTTTAATATTAAAATTTTAAACTTTAACACGGCAAGTTAAACACGATTATCTTTTCTTTTATGGCTCTGGGTTTATTTGTATTAAAAAGTTCTCTTTTGGACTAAACTAAATGGTAGATTTTTATTTTTATTTTTTTTAACATTTAAGCCTTTAATCCAAATGGAATTTAATTTTCTATGTTTGTGAAATGAGATATACATTATTTCTTTGCAGAATAAATGCCAGAAAATTGTCTCCTAATTATATTGCTATTTCCCCCAGTGACTTGAAATAGCTGTTTTTCATACATCAAATACTCATTTAAGTACTGAGTTCTTTAGTTGCTTTCACTGATTTCTATGCTATTCTCATGCAAAATTTGATGGTTTAAAGCTTGGACAGTAGATTAAAAAAGCTGTGATTTGTATCGTAGTTACCCCACTTACTCTGTGACATTTAGTAAGTTTCTTACCTCTCTGTGCCTCTATAAAACGGAGACTACATCTGTGCCTACCTCATGGTTGATGCAAAAACCTCATTGAAGCAATACAATGCCTGGCACATAGCAAGTACTCAAAAATGTTTGCTATTATTATTATTGGATTGATTACAATGTCTTATTACGTGTTTGGATACCAAGTAAAGAAAGTACACATTACTATATAGTTTTAAACTTTGTGTGGCTATATTCAGGTGTTTATTCTTTTACATATATATGTATATTTAAGATAATTTCATCATATGTTTAACACTAAATTTTTTTTTTCAGAGTTCTAATTAGGATTGTATTAAAGTTTTATATTAATTTAAAGGGAATTAACATTTTAATATTGTGTTCTTATCTAAGACTTTGTTATATCTTTATATTTTTGAAACCTTCAACAAGACTTTATAGCTTGGTTTACTCTAAGTGTTGTGCCATTCTTGTTAAATTTATTGTAAGGCGTTTTATACTTTTTGTTTTTATTGTGAGTGGAATATTTTCCACCATTTCAATTCTGGGTACTTACATTACTGAAGAGAAAAGCTATTAATTTACTTACATATTTCTTGTATTCATCTATATTAAGAATTTTTCTGTTCATTAGTTTTTTTTTTTAAAAACTAAAGTCTTCTACGTTTTCTAGGAATAGAATTATATTATCAGAAAAGAAGATAGAATCTTTTATTTTATGGTAATTATTCCAACCTTTTAGTTTGCTTATAACTGCACTTCCTATTATCTCCAAAAACATATTAAAGATTAATGGTCATAGTGTGTATTCCTGCCTGATACCTGGTTATAATTGAAATGGTTTTCTTGTTGGCCATTTAGAAAGGTTTTCGCTGCTGGATGGTTCTTCATAAATAGTCTTTATTATATTTAAGCAGTTTAATTTTTATTAGGAGCCACAGATAAAATTTATCAGATGCCCTTTTCACATCAGAAGGCTTTTTCTAAGTTATTTATAGTTGCAATACATTTTATTGTGAGGAACAGCATTCCAAAAAACTAAGGCTCCTGACAGACTAAGACTTCCAGCTAAAGTCTAAACCAAATCACTCCTTGTCCTAAGTGACTCCATTTTGTACTTTTAAAATGTAGTTTCTGCAGAAATTTTCCACTGTACCTCTGACCTAGATACAAGCAGTTTCTACAGAAAAATGCAGTTTTGCCCACCCTGCTATACTCGCGTTAAAGATTGTGTTATACATGTGACTGTGGTGGTCGGCCGATGCTCAGAAAATGGCCCCTTCGCTCTTCCTCAAACAAATGTTTTTCTAACTTGTGCCTGGGTCCTTACAAAGCCCTGTACTTTTCCATAACCTTGTTCTAACCCCCCTCAACCATACTTGTAATTTTCCAAAACTTTGTTCTAATTAACCCAATTTATAATTAGAATAAGCTAATGTTACAACTTTGTAACATTTTTGTATCAAAACACTTTTTCTCTCTTTGAGCATTAGAATACTTAGCATTTTCACTCCTATTCCTTCAACAGACTCTGTATTTCAACAGAACTCACCATCATAATGCTAAAGTAACTCAGTTCAATACAGGCTGCAGATGTCTGGATGCCAGGAAACATGTGATGTTTAGTGGTCAGCCAAAATCCGGTAACCTGGAGCCATCCTTGTAAAAGAGGGGAAACCCCCTGCAAGGACAGTCAACCAAGACCCTGCAACCTGCAACTTTGTAAATGTTAACCAATCAAAAACGTTTTAGCTGTACCCTTCTGTTTGCCATTCTTTCCTTCCTATGCCTCTGTATCACTGCATCCCCGGAAGCACTTAGTTCAGATTATTCCGGCACTGTGTTTTCCATTTTGCAAAATGTTTCTTTTTTTTTTTGGTGTGGTAATAAAACTCTCTGTTTTTAAAGTTAAACAGACTTGTGGTTTTTCCACGACAGTTGTTTGACTTCCTGATACTTAAATGCTATTGTCGTGATTTAAATCTTATGATTTTGATACATGGCTGGGTTCTACTTGCCTACTATTTTATTTATAATTTTTGCATCTATATTCACCAGTGAGAGTGGTGTGAGTTTACATTTTGCATTATTTGGGGCTATTTATTTTTGCTCAATAGCATAATTTTTAATAACATGCTGACTTTACTTAATAATACTGGTTTACGATGATCTCATTTATAAAAAATATGCAAATTTCTGGTTAGATACATATCTAAAGGGCTGGTGTCTTGTTTTTCTGTAATATAGCAATAGATATGTGATTATAAATGGAGAGAAGGAAAGGTGGCTATTAGTAGAAGAGAGATCTATAAAATAATAGAACACCTCAACTTATCAAGCAATAAATGGGGAGTAAATAATAGAAATCATCAATATATGCATAAGCTGTTTTTTGGAAACAGATGTGTACACATACAGGAAAAATAAGTACACATACAGGAAATAACTACACATAGTGGAAAAATAAGAACAAAGTATACAAAAGAAGTAATGATAAGACAAGCAATGAAAAGATTAAATGGATTATGAGGATACAATGTGCAACTCTATGGGATCACATATCACACTTCAATGGACGATCCTATTTGTCCTCTTAGTCAACAAGGAAGAAGTGTCACATGTGAACCTTGTCCTAGTCTTAATGGTTGGGCCCTAATACAGCCTAAAATAATTTCATGTGGAATCAGATTAGGGCTTCAAACTGGTTCAGTCTGGTTCAAATCCCTGCTGAGAATTTGCATTTGTAACAAGTTCCCAAGAAGTTATATATGAGAATCACCTGGGGATCTTGTTAAACTGTAGATTCTGATTCAGTCTATCTGGGGTAGA